AAACAGAATTATTTTGCAGCCATTTCAGAGCAAAATTCACACAGATAAAAATCTAATTGTACACAGCAAAAATAGTAGAGACATTGCTCATGGTAAGCTAGTGTGAAGGTCAGTGTTTCCTCATTAAGCATCAGTTTTTGAGCAACATGCAACTGTTGTGGGCGCTCCCTCCCCCTCAGAAGATACCTGACATTCTTCCCTATGCCCCCATGTATTTCCGCAGGGGGTGGTCATTTGCTGGATGAGGTACACATGCTCCTGAGCCCCACACCCCACTCGCTCGCCCCCACAAGCTCCTTTTCTTAGAAGATGGCAAGGGCAAGCTGAGGATTAAATTCAGGAACAACAGGATGTGTATCTCCCTCTCTTCTTCCTCTGTGGGTTGTGTGGCCAGGTCAGTTGTGAAATACAACCATGGGGTTTTCTCACATGCAGGAATATGAGAATTCCTGAGCACATAGGTTGTCTATATGTTTCGCAATAATTTAGAGTGGCAAGGATTCTCCCTCATGTAGAAATCCACGCACACACCTGCCTGGTTGGGGTGGATTTCTGCCTGTGCTTGAACCTTTTCGATGATGCTGGTCAGGGCCTCCTGCTCCCCTGCACACCAAGGTTAGAAAATCTTCTCCAGGTGGGCTGAAATCTTCCATCTCTGAAGCTTCTCCCTTTGGGTCCTAGCTGGCTCTCTGGAGTCCCACAGAATGGGTCTCTTTTCTTATTCAGACAAAAGTGATTCTGTCATTTTAAACTGTTCAACAGATGTGTACTGAGTACCTGCTATACGTATGCTTGGGGAACAGGCAGGGGCTTGACAGATGACTTCCTTCAAAGAGGCTTCGATGTTTGGGGAGATGAAGTGGGTAAAACACTAATGACTGCCAGGCTGGCAAAATGAGGGTTAGATAGAATTTCAAGTGCTTTCTCTTTGGGTAGTGGAAGAAGGCATAGTTTGACTAAGGGTATTAAGAAGCACTTCCTAGAAGAAGTGGCAGCCAACTCAGTTTTATGAAAGAAAGATCTAGGGTGGTGGAAGATCAAGCAGTGGTCATTCCCAGCAGAGGCAGTGGCGTAGCAAAGGCATTAAGACTTATAAATAGATGTCACATTAGGGGAATGAGGAGAAGACTGGGCCAGCTCAAGAATGGGGTTTTGATGGGATATTGGGTAGGAGAAGCTGGTCAGGAAGTAGACTTCTTTTCTCCAGACCTTTCTGTCGCCCCTCTCATGCCTCTGGTTCTGCGTGCGTCACAGCTCTGGCTACCCTGACCTCATCTTGTGGGGCATCAGTAGCCTGCTTAACATGTAGCCCCGAATAGGAGACGCGTATTCTATACCGTTCTGACCTCTGTATATCAGGGTTAGTGTCTTTCTTGATGTAGACACATTCTTAGGATTTTAGAGATGAGTGGGTAGTTATACAAAATGTCACCGTAAATATGTATGACTGGTTTCTCCTGTTTTTTGTTGTAGCTGGGTTTTGTTTGCTTGTTTGTATTTTTTTTTAACTAGTTCAGATAGCTCGATATAGTAGAGAGATAAGAGCTCTGAATCCCAGCTTCCACTCCTACTAGCTGTGTAAGTTGGGCACATCATCTCAGAACCACAGTTTTCTTATCTATAAACTGGAGGTGATAAACATAATGCAGACATTTATAACATATGTGCCAGGTACTGTTCTCAGTGCTGCATACCTACTAACAACCCATTTAATCCTCATCAATCCTGTTAGGTAGTTACTATTATTATCCTCATTTTGCAGATGGGAGAGACTGAGGT